ATTATTTTTTCACCAAAGTCTACCTTTTATCTAACTTTGAGCCAAATCGAACGAGCCCTTTCTGAAATATTGGCATATCTAAAAATATACGTTTGCGCGTGCGTAAGCGGAAGTGCTGTGTGGAATTTGATAAAATTGATATGGGACCATCTAGGCACCGATCAGCATAATCCCTAAAAATTTCATGAAGATTGGATGAACGGTACTAGGTGATATGCCCGTCACATCGATTTGACTACAGACAGACAGACAGACAGACTGACAGACAGACATACAGACACCGAACCAAATTTGATCCTTGATGTCTGAAACGTAAAACGCGAGTGAAAATTTTCGATTCTGAGCAAACAATTTTTTTTAATTTCTCGCACGAACACAATGCTTCCCTACCTTCGGTAGTGAGGAAGCAAACATCATAAACTAACGATTCCCTTGTTGAATTTTTGAAGACCATTTCTCACTACAAATAAGTTAGTTATCTTTCTAAGAATAGTTATTCGTTTGAATAAACTAACCACTCTGAGAAAATCGAGAGGCTAAAGAGCAAGTGATGTTGGAACTTCGGTAAAAATACTAAGTAAAAATTAAAACGTAAGGTAAGCGTACATCACAAGTTCAGGAAATGTGTGTCTTTTTTGGCTTATGCCGCCGTAATTATTACAGTTATAAACTTCTCCGTTAGACATTTAGAATCTCTAGGGTCTTCATTTTCTATTTAACACTTTAAAATTGAAAAAAATATTCAAATATGCAGGTATAATCTCCATTAAAAAAAACAATACATTTTTGCACTAGTGATGGATACACAGAAATTCAATTGTTCTAGTAATTTACAGGGAGTCGGTAACAGTAATAGACATATAAAAAAAAAAATCTGAAATCTTTATTTAAATATAAAGAGAACATAACATAAATGTTCAACTTACTCTTAGCAAAACTGTTAGTAGAAATGTATGAAACAAACTGATCTCAACAGAACTACAGAAACAACAATGATAGGCATTTAAAAATTTTCTTTTAGGAAATGTGTACAGACAGTTGTCAATAAAGGGTTTGTTCTTCAATCTAGAAAAAAACTGAAACCTTTAAATCAAAAAGCAAGCTTATTAACATTTAAAGTCCGACCTGTCCATAACTGGTACGTTCATCATGTTTAATTTAAAAAAAAAAAAAAAAAAAAAAAAAAGACGAAACAAGAAACCGCTCTAAACTTCCAATTAATTACAAAAGACTCATATACATGACTATAATAAGGCCTATTTGGACTTACGGAGTTGAGCTATGGGACCCCACTAAACCATCGAATTCCTCTCGTATCCAATCCTTACAATTCAAAATGCTTCGTAAAATCCTCAATGCTCCCTACTTTGTTACAAATAAAACCATCCATAATGACCTTAATGTTTCTTACGTTTCAGATCTGGCTCAATCCAGATATCTATCCTTCCACAATAAACCTCAGAATTATCCCAACCCTCTCGTTTCTAACCTTGCTTCCTCTTCAATTCCAGATGATTTTTCGAGGCGTCTGAAAAGAAGATGGCCCCGTGATCTTCTGATGTAGACATATCGTTAGAGTGCTGTCATTGGGTAGGTTCTCAACAAGTGTTTTCACGTCATTATATCCATATGATCAAATTTACTAAATGTATTTCTTTTATACAGTTGTAAATATCATTTTTTTTTTTTTTAATCTGTTTATTGAGGAATAATACATTTTGCCACGCTTAAGGGCACTGAGTACTAAGGCTGAGTGAGGCACATTCATACCATATATACAATATCATAAAAAAAAAAAAAAATACATACATCTACATAACAAAGGCAAAAACTATAATAAACTAAGGAAATGTAACTTAGAGTAAATATCATTTAAAAATAAAGTAATTTTTATTTCAATTAATAACAATATTTTTTGTAATTAACTTAATTTAGAATTGAAAATACTACAAAATATTTTTGGACCTAAAATGCTGTGAACCTATCCCTAAAGTTCACAAATGAAATCTATTTGAGTGTTTAAAAGCGGTAAATACACAACTGATGATTTACATCATTTAACACTATAATCAGAAGGAATCTAGATTCATAAAAATTTGTTTTAAAAAAATGTGTTGATTCTGAAACAGTCACAATTCGCTGAAGTTCAATGGTTAGGAAATTGCTGACATCGAGTGTTGTCGGAATATTTGCATGGCATCACTCAAGCTCACAGAAATTTCAGACAAATATTAGTTCGCAGCGATCTCGCCTTCCGTATGGGAACATTCCCCATCAAATTAAGTCAGAGTGAAAATAATTTGGTTAATTAATTGATGAAATGATTAGCAATGAGGAATAGGTTGGTTTTCGGGGAAGAGAGGTCGGAAATCAAAGAAAAGGGAGATATGTCATTATTACAATACGTTTATTATCATATTGTTCCTCATAAACAAATGTAAACTCGTTACCTGCGTAAATGTGTAAACATACAAATACAGTCAGACCTCTACATATCGGGTTAGTAAAATGAATTTTATTAGATAAAACTTTACATGTATCAAATAAAATTTCTATATGTAAATTAATGAGTTTTTTTACTGAAAAAAAATACAGTAAAAAAACTCTCAAACTCGGCGTCTTGTCAAAATACAATTTTGAATTATAGCTCATTACAAAGAGGATGAAATGCTGAAAATGTTCTTCGCTTACGGTATACAGGTCCGAATATTAGTTGAGATATTTTAATCTAAAAGTTAAAAAAAAATAGTAATAATTTGCTTTTCGATGCATTGGTTTCCCCTTTTTGTCTCGCTAACACGGAGTCGCGTTAAGTTACAAATTTGAACAAAAGCTAGAAAGATGCAATGCTGAACATTTCCCTTGCTTTTAGTATGCAGCTCCAAATTTTAATGTCTAAAATATTATATCCAAATGCAAAAAATAGTCGACTCGAGCCCATTTCGCAGACTTTCTATTTCCATTAGGGTAGGGGTGAAGGAAAAAAAAAAAAAAAAAAGGAGAAATAAAAAATAATGGCGGTATTTCATATTATGTGTAAAAATTCAACATAATTATTGTGAAACGAGCAAATATAATATTGAATATTTAAAAATAAATTTATATATTTGTTGCACGGTTATATAGTTGTACCACGGTTTACGGTACTTAAAAATATCTGAACAAAACATTTGGATATATTACAATATGAATCCATTAAATATGGAAGAAAGGGGAGAAGCCTCCATAACTTAGGGACATTTTTATAACTTTTCCACATGGCAATGAATAACGTTAAATAATAATAATAAAAGGCTTTGTAGGGTACGATGAGATGAAACTATTTATGAAGTTTCAGGCGGATGTTAATAATTCCATAAAAAGGGATCTGTACTACGGAATATAATATTTAATTGTATAGAATACAGCGACTTAAAAATTAAAATTTGCATATATAAGAGTATATAAATAAATACAAATCTGTTGCGCGCAACACACAACTTTCACTTACCGATCTACTTTGAATAGAAATTATTTTCTGGCAATGCTGGGCTATTATAAAATTTTTTGAAGTGCATTTTAAACGGAGCTAAAGCTTAAAGCTTACAGATAACTAGTCATTAGGACCATTATAATTACAAAATGTCGATTTAATATATCGACGACAGGCAATAAAAATCTAGTCACTCCATCTGCTTTTATAAACCACAGAATGACTAACTCCAATTTCAATATTTTTGAGTAATGTCATTTTAGTGATATTTTAAGTTGAAAAAGTTATCTATGCAGACAGTGAGTAAGTTGATTCCGGAGGTGGTGATTGCAGTGTTGAAATATAGAACTGAGAATAAAGGTATAAATTTAGGTACTTATTTCTTATGAAAGATTTTCTTAGGAAAGATACTTTACTAAATATCTGTAGAAAAAAGGTTTTTGATTATGAGCTAGACTGTTAACACACAGAGACTATTTTGCGACACTTGGTTATTTGGACTTAGAGGACCTCAAAACATGTATTTCCATTGAAAATTGAGATTCGAACATTTTCACGATCGCAATACTTACGCTTACTAAATATTACATATATTCCTCTATCATATCATCAACAATCATCGTCCTTTTTCCGCCTACAACCTTCTCCAATTCAAATCCTCAGTCCACTCCCTTTCCACAAGATCTCGACCTTCCGACCTTTACATTCCTTCTCACCGATCTGCCTCATTCCAAAACTCCTTCATAGCTCGCTCTGTTAAATTTTGGAATTCTCTCCCTATCAAAATTCGGCATTCTTCATCCCTGTCTACATTCAAAACCCTCCTATTCTAATTCCTGTCCCGAAAACAGTCAGATACCCGCTAACCTTTTATGTAAAATTACATATAATTCTTAATAATGTATTTACAGATAGCTCATAACTGAAATACTTATTAGCAGATTCGACTTTTTTTTAATTTTTTCTAAAAGTATATATTTATATTTTACAATTGTACGTAGTTTTAAGTGTCTTGGCAAGGTTTCAAGAGTTTTGTATATAGATTTTTTATTTTGTATATAGTATGTAAGACTAATATTTTCTATACTGATATAGCTTCACCTTTACTTTTTATGTTTGTTTTTAATTGGCTAGATACAACATTTTAATTTTGTAATTTTTTGTTATTCTGAAGGTACTTCGTCACAGAGTAAAATTATTTTCTATTCTATTCTATTCTATATATACCTAAGTGAAAGTAAAAATAACCATAATGAATTGTAAATATATATAGCGTCAATAATTTTAACTTAGACTTCCCCTTTGTCTGAAAATACTTATTTATTCTAAGAATAGAGTGGTAAGTGAAAGTAGTGTGATGCGCTCATCAGATTTTGTAGCTCTTATTCTCTACTATCATCTTTTTAAAATATTTCTCTCTACTTATAGGGCATCCTGCTATATTTCTGTAAAGTATAGGTTAGACTGTTTATAGAAAGTGATCTATTGACCCCTAGACAAGAGATCATCTCCATCGAATAGACGTTACCTTCAGCCAGCAGCCTCTTGAGGTGGCTTCCGCAAGAACCTTTTATGTAAATTGGTATCCGGTTTCTGTAGACAGGAAGCCCCAGAGGAAGGCAAACATTTCCCAATATATCTCCTTCCAGTCGGGCCAACCCTGTTTGCCTGCCAATATCCTTCCATCTACAAACACCTTCAAGTCGACGTTGGGGAAATGACATAATTATTACGAGTAAGGGATAATATTCACAACAGTAAAACATTATTACAAAGAGGATAAAGGATAAAGGAAGGAGATGGTCCGGGGTTGCGATCTTAAACAGGCTAAATAGTGATAAAACTATTTTATTGAAAGCCGAAGTTTCGACCCGACTTAACAGGCCTTCTTCAGGGCTAGAAGGAACAAGATACAAACAGATAAAGAATTGTGGTAGTTACATAATATTTACACAAAATTTATAAACAATGTGAATAAGCTTATTAAAATTATAAACAGTAAGTACAATAAAATATGAACAAAGTAAGCTAAGAGTACTGAGTAACAAGATCCTAAACTGAAGTAAATAGATGCTAACAATTGTTGTAGTGAAATACATAATAAATGAAAAAGGATATAATATGAAATAATAGACATAAAGGAATGTGGAGAAAGAAAAGAGACCAAAAATTAGACAAATAAGTAAATAAAATGGAAGAATAAAATTAGAGACTTACAGGTGTGTTCAGCTAGGAGTTTCACTTAGCTTACTTTGTTCATATTTTATTGTACTTATGTTTACAATTTTAATAAGCTTATTCACATTGTTTATAAATTTTGTCTAAATACTATGTAACTGCTACAATTCTCTATCTTTTTGTATCTTGTCCGTTCTAGCCCTGATGAAGACCTGCAAAGTCGGGTCGAAACGTCGGCTTTCAATAAAATAGCTTTACCACTATTTAGCCTATTTATGACCGAAACCTCGGACCATCTCCTTCCTTTAAAATGCAATTAGTTCGTTATGGGTGATTCTCAGATTATGTGCGATTTGCATGATTTTTCCTTCTATTGCCGCTCAGCTTTATCTGAGCAAATTTTCAAGACTTAAAGTGCCTTTTGCTCAGTAACTAAAGTAAATAAAGGTAATAATTCGGTTGTGAGAATGAAAAGAGTTTTCAACTTGGTAATGACATTTCCACATATTTTATTCGTCCAAAAACGCTGTGTAACTAGTATTATAATTTTTGTTTTTTCCAACTGACTTGCTACAAAACGTAGTCAAAAGTGAATGATATTAAATGAAATAATTTTAACAGATAGCGAGATAATATACGCGGTGGTAATGAAAACAATAAAGGTACGTGCTCAACTTATACGAAACGAATGCGTAGAGGGAAATCCACAACTGGTAGGTTTATTAGTAACTGATAGAAATAGTGTTACCCAAAATCAGTCTTGGTCTTGCACTTTGCAAGACCAAGACCAATACCGCCTATCTATTGCAAGACCAAGACCAAGACTGGTAAAAAAAATAATCGATTTTTATAATAAAAATTGTTACTAATACTTGACAATTTTAGTTACTATATGTAAAGAATTGGTATAACCAACATTTAACTCTTCTAATTTTTCATACAGACTAAGTTAGGTTTCTCATATTTAAAAAATTGCAGTAATATCTCTCTAGCAATAAGCTAATAGGTAACTGCAAGACTGTTACGAGAGTCTTGCGCAATACCAAGACTGAATTTGCAAGACCAAGACTCGTCTCGGTCTCGTTTTTGGGCAACACTAAAAAAGAGTTAAATAGATATAGTTGTTGACATATTAGAAACAAGATAAACCATCCACCTTAGGATTTAATTCATCAGATAAGAAGTGTATCACAGTGACATAAAAATAAACAGAAAAACCGAAAGGAGTTATTTGCCAACGCAATATAAATAGCAATATTTTAATTTTTAAAACTTGTAACCATAGCACCTATGAGATATACGTAATGTAGTATCTTCAGCTACTCTACGAAATTAGTAGTGAATGAAGAATTAGTGAATTTACAGCCACAGAAGAGAGTAATTACTGAGATAAATAGTAATATTTTTTTAAATAAAAATTAATTTTAGATTGATTGCTTCTGTTTATTAAAGTTGATGATAACTTTGAGGTCTTGGCTCACTCTAAGAGCGGCTGGATGAGGTATCCCAGATATTTCTCTGCCTTTGAGCAAACTTCACTGAGGCATTATACCTCAGGTATGTTACAAAAAGATTCATTCTGCGGCGAACTCTCAAAATAGAAAATTAGTAAAAATTATTTATCAGTTAAAATAAATGCCTTAATCAACAAATTCAAGTTGAAATGAGTTTTAAAAAGCGCAGCAAATTATTCCACAATGGTTTATTAATTCCAAACAATTATACATCTAAAGTAACATTACCTTCCTAATGACAAAGACAAATAAATAAAAGGTGATTCCAATTATTGGACTAAACTTTTTTTTTTAACCATCAGAATATACTAAAAAAAAAAAAAATAGCAATTACTTCAGTAACACATTCAAAATTTAAAAACCAAACAAAGGATATAACATTTGGAGTAGAACATATATAAAAAAAGAAAAACCAGAGACCATATCTTTGCTTCTAATTTCCCGATTTTAAAGATTTTTTTTTTTGGTTTTTAGGAAATTTCGTAAACTTTTTGAATTATTCGGGATTTAATTTTACCATCGTAACTTTTTTTCCAGATTCTTTTCGTTGAAATATGTTATATAGATAAATTTAAAGGGCGTAGAGAAAATGACTTGAAGTTTCATTGAAATCGCTACATTCGTTTAGGCGCCAAAGTCTATAGCAACGCAGGTTTTTCGGGCGCCATTTTGAAAAAGTAAAACACGGATAATAATGTCGATAAAGGAGGATCATCCTTGGGTGACCTCTGATTTTACATCAAAATTAGAAAAAAATTGGTCCAGTAGTTTCGGAGAAAATAACTTTTATTCGTTTTTCGAATTCTACGCACCCTGAAACGTGAAACTTCAAATTTTGAGAGGGGGTTAAGTTTCTGAATTTTTTGGTCGTTCACAATGGTTGATTATTGAAAATAATAAACCAAAATCTAGTGCACGCACACACGACTTTCACTTACCGCTCTACTTTGAATAGAAATAATTTTCAGGCAATTATAAAATTGTAGTACATCTTAAACGGAGGTAAAACTTGAAGCTAACAGATAACAAATCATTAATATTATTAAAATAACAAAAATCCAATTAATTATAACAACGGTAGGCAAAAAAAATCTAGTTGCTCTCTATGTTTTTTTAAACCACAGAACTCCAGTCTTTGAGCGTTAAATGAGTGAGCCTTTCATTTGACAGAACGAGAATCGATTGAGAAAATATTAAAAATGAAATCCATAATACCTTATTCATCAGAACCATCGCTCTTGAGAGCTCGTGAATCTATACTACCGTATTAGTTTAAAAAATCCGTTCTCGTGTCTTTGTTAGAATTAACCCATAAAACAGTCTTTTAGACAAGTCATTATTTTTTGTTCTGTAAGACCTTTTGTTTTTCCACATTAATTTCGGATTTTATTTAGTCAATATGATACATAGTCAAATATTCAGCATATATTGAGGGTATTATCAGCTCTTAGTGGCAAAACTCTGAGGGAGGGGAGAGGTATTTCTCGATATTTAAAAATATTTTTAAAAAAGTTAATTCGATGCATAGGCCGATTCCTAACCGAAAAAGAGTTAAGACCGATTTTGTATTTTTCTTAAGATAGTTTTCACGGTTTTTATTGAATAATTAGATTTTTTTCAAAAACTATTCAAGATAATTAAATTTTAAGTACATCATAGTAAATTAGACAAAATGTCTTTGAGAAAACACTAATTAAATTTACTAAGGTCAATGATAAAAGGGACTTTGAGGAGGTCTAATACAGCTGCTATACTGCTGCAGTTTAAGTACTCATACACGAGCACCATATCTCTATACAGCGGCACTATTAGATCTCTTGAAATTCTACTTTATCATTGAACTTAATAAATTTAATCACAGTTTTCTAAAAAAAAAAAAAGTTATATTTCTCTTGAATTATCTTGAACACTTTTTGAGCGATTTCTTCTTATTAAATAAAAACTTGAACACTTTAAAAAATACACAAATTTAATTTAAGCTCTTATAATTTAAACAGTATTAAATTATCGACCGACTTAATATATCTCGGTATTCACTTCGACAGACATTTAAAATTTACTAGACATTTTGACAAAAAAATTAAAACAGTAAGATCCAAGACGTACAGACTCCAAAAACTTTTTTTTTTTTTTTGATTTACATATATCTATCCGCACCTGTCAATTATGATTGACAATCAGCAGATGTGCTGGCGTAGTAATGAGAGAAAAAAAATAAAAAATAATAATAATAATAAAAAATAAATAAAAAGGCTTGATAGGCATGAGGAATAGAAATACCCAGCGGTATCCCTTCCATGGCTTTTATTTACTAACATTATTTCAGCAGATCCCTCATCCAGACCCTTTTCAGTCGTCTTCTGGAGTTCTCGGGCATACTAGTTGTGGCCATTTCTTTTACCAGCTGGTTGGAGTGCCCGTTTAACATGTTATGAAATCGTATGTGTTCGTTGACTGTCGGAACGTATAAGTCGGTGTGTAAAGTGTGATTGTTTACGTACCATGGTGCTTGAGTGATTAGTCGTAGTATTTTCGACTGAAAAGTTTGAAGTCTTTTTATGTGAGTTGGTTTTGCAATTCCGTATATTTGTAGTCCGTAAGTCCAAAGAGGTTTTAGAAGATATGTTCCAAAATTTAATTCGGACAAAAAACCTATCTTTACGCCTAAAGCTTCTAGTCTATACAAGTATAATACGGCCGGCTCTGTTCGAACACATCAGCAAAACAACTCTGAAAAGATTACAATATTCCCAAAATGGAATAATTAGAAAAATTGTAAGAGGAACTATGATGCAGAGAATGAAGAAATTGGAAATACAAGCAAAACTAAATTTATCAACTATAAAAGAATTTATCGCAAAACGAAAAAAATCATTTTTCGAAATATCCCAACAATTGACAAACTCTCTTTTCAACAACTTATTACCAGCCAAAATTCCAAAACGTTGGAATTCGTTTTGAACTCAACAACTCGCAACGAGATAGATGTTTTATTAATTTAGTTGTAAGCTCTAGAGGATAAGGTCATCTCA